AGCTGGGACTACAGGCGCCCGCCACCTCGCCCGGCTACTTTTTTGTATTTTTAGTAGAGACGGGGTTTCACCGTGTTAGCCAGGATGGTCTCGATCTTGTGACCTCGTGATCCGCCCGTCTCGGCCTCCCAAAGTGCTGGGATTACAGGCTTGAGCCACCGCGCCCGGCCGCAAAATATTATTATCATTTTATTTTACTCATTTTTTTGAGACAGGGTCACACTCTGTCATCCAGACTGGAGTGCAGTGGTGCGATCTCAGCTCACTCCAGACTCTGTCTCCCGGGTTCAAGCAGTCCTCTCACTTCAGCCTCCTGAGTAGCTGGGATTACAGGCGCGCACCACCACACCCAGTTAATTTTTGTATTTTTAGTAGAGATGGGGTTTTGCCGTGTTGCCCAGGCTGGTCTAGAACTCCTAGACTCAAGCAATCTGCCTGCCTAAGCCTCCCAAAGTGTTGGGATTACAGACGTGAGCCACCGCTCCTGGCCTGTTGTCATTTTAAAGTGAGAAAAACTGGAGCTGAAAGAAGTTGCTGCTTTGCCTAAGATCCCATAGCAGCACAGGCGGAACTGCCTCCTGCAGTCATGACTGTGAAAAGTGCTCTTCTTGGACCCTTTCCCTTCCACACCCCTTGTCTCTTTTGATCAACCTCACAGTCTCTTGAGATAAGCAGGACAGTGAGCATTAAAATCATTCCCACGTACAGACAAGGAGACTGAGACTCAGAGAAGTGAAATGGTTTTTTGGAGGTTTCAGACAGCCACAGATGGAACTCAGGTCTCTGAGCCTCTGACCCAGGGGTTTTTAGTATGCGGTAGCAGGGCGAAAGTGAGTCCAACACACCTCTGTGAGCCCCTGCTCTTTGGGTTGAACGAAGGAGCTCATCCTAAGCTACTCTACCATTAACGAACCCAGCAGCCCACAGTCAGGAGAAGGTCAGGGGGTCTCCACATTATCCAGTGTTTTGGGTGTTCACAAGAGCTAGATGCTCCAGTCTCTCTCCCTCTTCCCCAATTGTCAATATCTCTTATTTTATTTTATTTTATTTTGAGATGGAGTTTTGCTCTTGTTGCCTAGGCTAGAGTGCAATGACGCGATCTCGGCTCACTGCAACCTCCACCTCCTGGGTTAAAGCAACTCTCCTGACTCAGCCTCCCAAGTAGCTGGGATTACACATGGATGCCACCATGCCCAGCTAATTTTTGTATTTTTGGTAGGGACAGGGTTTCACTATGTTGGCCAGGCTGGTCTCAAACTCCTGACCTCAGGTTATCCACCTGCCTGGGCCTCCCAAAGTGCTCGGATTACAGGCATGAGCCACTGTGCCCAGCAGTATCTCTAATTTTATATATACTGTGTTTCGTGTTTGAATGTTGTTGTCTTACGATGTAATCTTCCTGCTATGGTGGAACCTTTGTACGTATCTACTATTAAGTGAGAAAAGTGCCTCCTCTTTGCTTGCTGTTCTTAACGGGCTTGCCTTGTTTTCCAGTGAATCTTCTCGAGTCTATTGCTTTCTTGATTTTCTTGCAGAAATACTGATCCTATGTAAGTCTTTGGAGGCTGTTGGTAGCTTGTTCCTACTGACTTGTATTTTCTTTCTTTCTTTTTTTTTTCTTCGGATGTTGTCTCACTTTGTCACCCAGGCTGGAGTGCAGTGGTGTGATCTCAGGTCACTACAACCTCCACCTCTTGAATTCAAGCGTTTCTCCTGTCTCAGCCTCCCAAATAGCTGGATTACAGGTGCCCACCACCACACCCAGCTAATTTTTGTATTTTTAGTAGAGAACTCTTGATCTCAAGATATCCTCCCACCTCGGCCTCCCAAAGTGCTGGGATTACAGGTGTGAGCCACCGCACCTGGCCTGTGCTGGTAACATTCTATGGCTTTCTCTGTGCACTGTTAGGTAAGAAAGGTTGGGAGGCACTGCTTCAGGACTACTTAGGGGCATCATCCAACCTGTTGATACGGTGGATGTGAAAATGTATCTCGTTGTGGTTGCCCTTAATACTGATGAGGTTGAACGTCTTTTCAAGTTTATAGAACATTCTTATTTTTTCCCTCTGGAATATTCACATATTTTACTTAATTTTCTCTCCTTTTTTTACTTTTCCTTATTGATAAGTCATTGTGGATACTATTTATTGCCGTATCGATCAGGGTTCTATTGCAGAAACTACTCTTACCATTTTAAGCATTAAGGGATTCTATATAGGGTTTTAGTGTTTATAAAATAATTGGAAGAGCTGGAGAAATGGGCTATTAATTGGACTTTCAGAAATGACATAAAAAACAACCCTGCAGAATCAGTCCACCCCAGGGTACTGTAAACTCTGCTGCAATCTGAGGCACGTGAGTGCCTCTGGCTGGCGGGATCTAAGTCACACCCAGATCCCTTGTTGTAAGCAAGTCTGGGAAACGGAGTGTTTCTCTTTGTAGACTCTGAAGAACAGGAAAGCACACACCCACTTCTGGGTATTAATCAGCCTTCTTTGGTTCAATCCCAATTCCATCTTGATATCCTGTAACTTGTGGACTTAAAATATGAACCACCATCTATACTCTCTATCAGTTTTCTACCTTGAGAACACTGATATTTTGGGCCAAATAATCGCTGTTGTGGGGGACTTTTCTGTGCATTGTAGGATGTTTAGCAACCTCCCTTACTCTACTTGCTAGATGCCAGTAGCACTCCCCTTTCCCAAGTCATGGCAATTGAAATTGTCTCCAGACATTGGCAAAGGTCCCTGTATTAGTCCGTTTTCACACTGCTATAAGGAACTTCCTGAGACTGGGCACTTTATAAAAGGAAAGAGGTTTAATTGACTCACAGTTCTGCATGTCTGAGGAGGCCTCAGGAAACTTACAATCATGGTGGAAGGTGAAGCAGGCACCTTCTTCACAAGACGGCAGGAGGGAGAAGTGAGAGCACAGGAGAAAACTGATACTTTTAAAATCATCAGATCTCATGAGAATTCCCTATCA